CTGTGATCCATTAGAGGTACTACACTTGTGGTACTTGTTATCAAAGCTCAAGATCTTCAAGGAATCATTGTTATTACTATATAGCAATAAATGTATGTGATCTAATCTTTCTTATGTTGATTTCGAAATTATTAGATGCATGCTAGGGTTTCTAGTTTTTTGTGTTCAATGCTTGTATGTCTAATAGTGAAAACATAGATCCTCAAATTAGGGTGTCATGCAGACATATGATTGTTTGCTATGTAGAAAACCCATCATATATACCCATCCACAACTGCAGGTCTCATTGCTTATTCTGATGTCTTATAGGGGGATGCCCCGCCTCGTGACGCTCCACTAGTGGGTATTGTGTATACCTTGGAGACAACATAATTTCCTGGTCTTCCAAATGCCAGGCAAAATTTTCGAGATCCAGTGTTGAGGCTGAATACCGAGGGGTGGCTAACACAGTTGTTGAGTCTTGTTGGTTACGAAATCTTCTTTGCGAGCTTCACTGGTCTCCAGCAAAGGCCACCATCGACTGCAACAATGATAATGTTGTTTACCTTTCATCCAATCTCGTTCAATATCAGCGGACGAAACATATAGAGATTGATATTCACTTTGTTCGGGATAGGGTCGCTACTTGGCAAGTTCGGGTTCTACACGTTCCCTCCTCTCTTCAATACGCTGACATCTTCACGAAAGGTCTTCCTCATTCGCTATTTTGTGATTTTAGATCCAGTTTGAGTGTTTGATCCTTATCTATCCCTCCAACTGCAGGGGTGTATTAGTGTATTTGTATATTAGCCCATTTAGATGTTAGCCCTATAGGGCTGTATATAGGCCCATATGTATTATCCTATGTCTATATTTGTGTATTCGTATGAATGAAACCAAGAGAGAATATTTGACGCCCTAAAATTTTAAGAACAAATGATTGATGTCATCATTCACATCACCACAACACGGATACACCATAGACTTCAATTCTACCCCTCGTCTATCCAAATTGCATCTAGTAGGCAACCTATTAAGAACAAGTCTCCAAATAAAAATGTTACTTTAATTGAAAGACACCTATTTCACCTTGTAACACCACGGAAGGAAGCTTGTAAGATCCAAATGAGATCTCACATCCTTTCACCAAAAAAACATCTTCCATCCCGATCTCCAAGTGAAGCTAGCATATGACATTTTGTTACAAACCAACATTTTTGCGAAAGTGTGAAAAGAATATTACGCTCTAAAAGAATAAGCATTTTTAGAAAAAATTATAGTTAAAAAGGAGATATATATTCCAATCTATCTCAAAAGAATGTATATATATTATATGTTTGTATGTATATTAAAATATTTATCCGTCATATTTAGATAAACATTCGAACCTATCCAAAGAATACACACAATCACAATTCACACATACATACACATGTCATATAATTTGAACCGTAGGAGTTATTTTTAATGTTGTTTTAAATGCGGTATGTTATTGTTATGCAGCCGATGTTAATAAAACAAAAATGTAATTTTTGCTACATTTAAAAAGATGTGACAGCAAGACTTTTTTCTGGATCTCTTATTTGTGCAAGGTGAATACACACCAAAATCCTCATCATCTAAAATATAGTTCTAAAAAACTCGTCTTGTACAAGACTACAAGTCCCATGTAACCTAAACGTAGCTTAGATGGTCTTTATCCAAGACGTTACTTAAAGTATACGGAAAGATCTCAAACAGTGTTGGGGAATATGTAATCAAAACGTCAAAATTAGTATCTGTATTCAATGATTGCTGTACAAACCGACTTCCATCACAAACCCTTTAGGTAGGAATATGTTCCACTTGTATCAAAAGACCTAGGACTAGAATTCGATTCTTAGAACCCTCAAAAAGAATCCTAATTGAAACCGTGTGCAATACGAGAAATCTCTTTATGTCAAGTTGTACTTATATAAGACACTACATCCTTCTCGGTTATTCACCCACAAACGTTAGCCAAATCGAGCAAACAGTTAAACACACAATCTTTGCATCGAACTAAGAATGGAAGGTAAGACCTATGTGACGAAAGGCTACTCGGACCACATCAGCATTCCAGCCCGAGGAGGTGGTTATGAACATGGGACGAAAAACCCCGTTAACCAATATGCAGTTGAGAGCAAGACAATTGAGCGGGTTCGAGGCCCGGCTACTGGGTGCAAGGACTTTGTTGGTTCCCCTTCAAAAATCGAGCTTCTGAAGGAATACGTTTATTCCCCAACCATGTCCAGTAGTCAAATTTCGGGCTACGACCCAAACCACGGGCTCAACTATGAGAACTCAGTCCCACCCAAATTCCTCAATAATAGAAATTGGACCACAAAAACTAGCCACTTCTCTAGCCCAAATAAGTATCATCCTTCAAGCGCGGTCCACGGTTACCATTCAGCTGAAGCCCATCCGATGCAGTTTGGACCGGGCTTTGCAGTGGATGGACACGTTAGGACGGGGAACATTTATGGTCCCAATAAATCTTGGCAGAGTGCCGGACCACTTCTGACAAATCATCCTCTTACAACTTCAACATACAATATCAACGAAGCCTTGGGTTTTCTTGAACCTGTGAATCATTCTTCACGCTCGGAACCGAGGCAAAGAGGGGTACTCGATGAACTTTCCATGCGTCCACAGCCACTAGAGCCACAGAAGCGATATCCGCGACCTGCATTTGTTGCTAAACCTTACAATTTATACAAGAAGCGGTATTGATAGCCACGAGCGTATGTGAAAGGTGCTGCGGCTCCCTTTTAGCATCCAGTCCTAAATTACTATATAGTTTCTACTTTTTAATGTCGTATTTGAAGCTTGTCTAGGTGTGTTTTTTATGTTTAATTATGATGCATTACTATGAAGAAAAAAACTGTATCCAACATAAATTAAGGAAAGTTATATATATATATATATATATATATATATATATATATATATATATATATATATATGACAGTTTTATTCATATTTATAAGTTATAACCAAATATGTAAAGATCACTAATCTTCGAGTAACCACAAATATTCAGGTAAGTTATTATCATAGGTATATTAATGTGAAATATGACGTTAAATAATATACTTCTTTGTCGGAATTTATTACATGCATCTGCAAAAAGATCATATCTAAATTTGTATTTTAAAAGTATGTATGTGAGATCCCATATTGAATAGGCTTGCAAGTGAATAATATCTTATATTTAGTTGTTGAATGGTGGTGGTTGTTTTATTGGAGTCAAGAATATATATGTTAGCTTGTTTTTCTAAGTCTTTCGACCTTCTAAATTGATTAGTTTAAGGAAATGAGGATTCCGAATTAATGGTTTATGTGGAGAGTGGGCACAATCCCAACAAAGAGGAAAGCGCAGAGAAGATAGAGCAAGATCACAACCAAGAAAATGAAATTGGTAATCTTGATAACATCGTGTCACCAAAGAAACACAACGCCAACTCCCAGGAAGAAAATCATACAAGACAATGAAGAATGTAAAAAGGAGAAAAACAAGCAAGTAGAAGGGAAAGCAACAAGTTCAAAGGCAAATAGCAACAAAGAAATCGAAATGCTAGCAAAAACAACAGCTCTCCCAATCCAAAAGCAAGATGTTTCGGTCACCATAGGAGAATTCACACGGGCCATACAAATAACAGTGGGCAAAAAAACATGATAGCACAAAAAGGTTGAAGGAAAGGCGAGATGGAGTAGTAGGCCATTCGAACAAACGGAGAAATATTGCCACCCATTATGGATAAAAACAAGGTAGGACAAAACCCTACACCAGCAGTGAAGGACAAAACCAGAGATCGAAACCGAGAAGAGACGAAGCCAACAAAAATGAAATCCAGCAACAAAAACTCTGAGGTCAAGGAAAGGGAAGCACCAAATCAAGCCACCTAGTCTCATGGGGAAAAAAAGCGGACGAACATTGCTGAGGTAGCAAAGGTGGACACATGAACGTGAGCTTCAAAAGTAAAGCAAGTATAGTCGTACAACAACAACAACAACCTCATTTATATGCAATACATTAAGGAAACATCCCAGAGCAAGCATGAAGTCATGAATCCTACCTATGCATACATGTAGATGCAAAGTAGTTGTCCCTCTTAATCAAAGCAATGATGGTTCATTGGTGAAATTATGAGTGCAATATTTATTCTAAAATGTAGCTCGGTCGAATACTTAAAAGCGACCAAGGCTACCAAATTTGCCAATCAAGTAACAATCATTGTCTAATCATAGCTTGGTCAGCTGACTATTTAGAAATTTTGGTCATGGAAACATATTGACCAAGGATACTCGGTTAGCCAATCAAGCAATAGTAACTATCTAATAGTAGATCGGTCAACTGACTACTTAGAAATTTTGGTCATAACAACATATTGACCAAGGCTACCCAGTTAGCCAATCAAGGAACAACAATTCTCTAACTGTAGCTCGAACATTCAACTACTTTAAAAAAAAATGGATACAGCAACATAGTAACCATGAGTACTCGGTTTAATCAAACACACAACCTTTTCAAAAACATGCCCTTAATAGCCAACAAACTTAGAAATCCCGGTCACAACAATATGTCAACCATATACTCACAACACTCGATACAAAGACAAACGAAACCATAGAAAATAGCTTCGCATTCAAAGTAAAGAAATTTTAACCTCAAAACTAGAAGCCATATTTTTGGGGAAAAAGAAAAACTATGACGATTGCCCATAAAAATTCACAACAAAAGAAAAGATGTGTAACATCTACAATTATCAGGTTTGCTTTTGATCCCTTGAGTTTTGATTTTGTTGAAAATTGGATCCCCGAAGTCAAAATTTTGAATTTTGGTCTTGTTCGTGTACGCGGGGCGTAGGTCCTTGTACACTTAGCGTAATAGGTCCCGTGTGAGTAAGTTGCACGTACTCCAATACGCAGGGCGTACGTGGCTCAGACCAAAACCCAAAGAATTAGGGTTTGTGCACTATTTAAACCTTATTATGGCCCAAGACCCTCCCCTACCTCAGCCTTCATTCCATTTCTCGACCCTCTAAGCAAACCCTAGTTTATTTTGATCATTTTGGAGGTTTTAGAGTGATAGTGTGTGCTTTTGGTTGTGAAGAAGGTTATTCAAGAAGAAAGCTTTGCCCTCAAGACTTTAGATCCAACATCTCATCTTCATTTTGCACCACTAGGAGGTATAAAGCTCCAAATTTGGTTTGTGTTTCATTAAGTTCTAGTTTGAGGCTAGTTTCTTCTTTCTTGTCCCTAAAGTTTAGATCTTGGTGAGTATGAGCTACTCCCTAAGCCTCCAAGTTGTATTTTCAGACATTTCTAGGCATCTTATGTCATAAAGTTGCAAGCTTAGACCTTGTTTAGTCCCCATTCGAGAATTAGAGTGTAGGATGGAGTGAAATAAGCTAGGTTTTAGAGTTTGGTCTCCTTGTATCCACATAAAGGCATAAAGTTTGCAACTTTATGGCCTTAATGGTCTTAATGGTTTGACATCTGAGTTTTAGTCATTTAGTCTTAAGGCTTTAAGACGTTTTTTCATGGTTTGCATGGGGGTCACTTACGCCGTGCGTACTTCATGTACACCGCGTGTACTGCCTCCCTAGTTGTGACTTTCCGCTTCGGCCTAGTACGCTACGCGTACCATTGTGTACGCCGAGCGTACGGCCCAGTTCAGCTTGATATGTGTTTTGGGCCCAAATCGATGGGCTTGCTTGTTGGGGTTGGGCCTTGGACTTCCTTCTGTTGGGCCACTTCAACTGATGGACTCCTATTGGATCTTGGACGATCCTTGGACTTGGGCCTAATATTTTATTGGGCTTGAAGTCTAGTTTGGCCCATCTCACTTTGAATATTAGTCAAGTGTTGTAAGTCTTAGTCCGGATTTTGACCCAAATGTTTTTGGTACTTTATTTTTTATTTAGCACGAGAATTTATCTAGTCTAGCAGCTCGAGCGCTTGTCTGGGATTTTAGCAGCTAAGGTGAGTTTTCTCACCATGTTCATGGGTCGAAGGCACCAATGCCGGCTCATTTCTTGTTATGTGGAATGTTGTTGCCTTTGTGATAATTGTATGGAAGACCATGGGGTAGCCCATGGCACTTGTGTGTAAGACCGGGATTTAGCCCTCATCATCTCAAGGAAAGACAATGGGGGTATCCCATGGCACTCATATGTAAGACCAGGATTTGGCCCTCGACGTTGCGTGAAAAGATCATGGGGGTAGCCCATGACACTTATATGTTTTATGTATGCGTTATGATTGGGAAACTCACTAAGTTTTTGCCTACAATCTATATTTGTGGTTTCAGGTACTTCCGGTACTAAAGGGAAGGGTACGGCTTGATGGCGTAGCATTCACTCCTCACTATTTTCCGTATTTTTGATATTATACTCTGATGATTTGACATTATTATTATGGGTTGGTTTGGAACAATGTGATGATTGTAACTCTTGTGTTTATTTAAAATGAAAAAATTTTATTCTGGTTTTTGGGTTGTTACAAGATGTAGCAAGGGACAACCACAACAACGGCAAGAATGAAACCAGTAAAATAGACATTCGAAGGCATATATATTATTCAGAAATATCATAAGTCAACGCTTCAGCAACAAGGATCGAAAGGCAACCCAAAAAAACGTAGCAAACTAAAAGAAAAACTAATATCCATAAAGTACTAAAAATCAACCACTATCTAAACAATACCAATACTAACTGATCATGATAACCTCTTAGATACTTTCACCACCACCACTTGTGCACGTATCATCCCATGTACGTCTGAAAACAAAAGATCTTAACTCAGCAATGGAATTAACAGGAAAACCAAGCTCTGACAAGAAATACCTACAAAACAAATTGGGAAAAGCCTCTTCCATCCATTGCAGGTAAGTACGATCATAAAAAGATACCTCAACCTCAGAAAGGCCCAACAAGTGTTCCTGGTTCATCAGCTCATACCCTTGTAACATCCATTTTTCGGTATGTTAATAATTTCGTAATTAATTATTTAATTTTATTTTATTTAAATGGAAGGACAATTAAATAACCTAAATGATGATTTTAATTATAAGAATTTAGTATTTGAGGGTCTTGTAAATAATATTCAGAAGAGGGGATGAAATTGTTAGTTTAGAAACCTTTTGATGTAAAGAATATTGTTTATAGGGTAGAACTGTCATTATGGTAAACTTCAGGATTTAAAATGAAAATTTCGAAAATGAAACATGGTTATAGACGGGTAATCAGATTTTGGATTTAAGTTCTTTCCTTGAGCCCTCGTTAATCCATATTTCTCAAATATATGTCAAGGTATACTAGGTGTGCACCCGCCCAAAGCAGCGACGACAATTATTACTTTTTCGATTAATGGTTTTTTTCTAGAAAATGTTATTTGATTGTTTCAATAGTTACAAATTTTCTAGCTGATATGTTAGAAAAAAAAATCATGTCCAACCTTTGGACAAACATCATGCCTACATTAAAAAAGAAACAAAATTTAATTGATGTTTCTTCCTTAAATATTTTCGTTGATTAATCTTTACCATAATTAGTTTTTGTTCATGGAAAGATGAGTGGTTTGTGCATAACATATTTGTACATTAAGTTATCAAGCATATGCCTCTTAAATTTCCATAAAAAATCAATATGCTTTATAATATAGTTAAGATATGTTTAACCTAATGACCCAAGAAAGAGACGTGAGTGAGTGTGTTTTTCTTTGTGGCC